AACTAGCTTTTTTGTGATAATTTTTTGTGTAAAAAAAACTAAAAGGTCAAAAAGTTGACTTTTTTAGTTTCTTCCCAAAAGACCCCATAATAGGTTGGTATTTTTATTTTTATTAAATTAGTTTATATTTTTTCAAAAGTCAAATATGACGACAATTTTGATATCATTATTAAATCAATCTATTAAATCAAAAAATTCAAAATTAAAAATATTTCATATATTAAATATATCGATTACATATTAAAAGTCTAGTAACCACCCATTACATGATCATTATCCAAATACATAATAAAAATTAATTTGATAAAAAAATAAATAAATGTGTAAAAAATTTATCATTTTTACATAATTTTATCTTTAGTGGGTAGAAATAATTTTTAAAAATTTAAAAATATTTTTTTGAGATTTATTTTTGTCAAATTAGTTTATATTTTATCAAATTGACGACTTTATCCTTGAAATTGAGCAATGGTATCTTCAATTGTCCTTATTTGAAATAATATTCAAAATTCTGGGTCAAATATGTCACAATTGAAAAGTCATGAACTAAAATGATACAAGTTCAAAATTATAAGGATTGTTAATGTAATTCGTCCTTAATTATTTATATGTAAATATAAAATTATTTATAAAAATACGTTGTGGCCTGTGTAATACTGAAAAGTAAGATGTTATGAAAGTGTAACTTAAATAAATATGGATTCCTTTGAGAATTGGGTTAGTTTTTTTGACTTTTTAATTATTTTAATTTGGGATTAAAAAGTTTGATTTCGGAAGAATTTTTTGACTTTTTTGATTTTTTGTAAGAGAAATAAAATAATGATTATGGATTAGATGTGATGTTTTGTCTTATTAAACTAAAAATTTTTTTTTATTTATTTATTTTTCACTATTTTAGTCAAAAAAAAAAAAAAAAACCAAACCCATGTCATAATTTTTATTTTTATTTTTATAAAGTTAATGTGAATAAATGTCTAATTAAAATTTTAAGGTTCATTTATAACATTCCCTAAACTACACAAGAAAGAACAAGTCAACGGACATTTAATTGGAGTAATTTGTCCCATTTGGTAGAGTCGTGGGAAAGTAATTATACCTTATACCTTAAGGTTCCGTTTGTTTGGGGTTATAGCAAAGGGATTAGGATTACTAGTACCTTGGGATTAGTATATATGGTGTTTGTTTTGAGAGATAGCCTTGGGACTATTAATACCTTGGGACTAACTAATACCTTGGTAATACTAATACCTTGTGGCCATGTTTGTTTGGGCGGACTGGATTAGAATTCCCATAACTAATAGTCCTAAGATTACGAATCCATTGGATTATGTATCCTATCTTAACTAATAGTCAAGTTTAAAATAATTAATCCGTACTTCAATTGTTTAACCAAACATTGGATTAATAATTTTATTGGACTATTAGTCCAATCCCAAGCTCATGTCCACCCAAACAAACATTTGTTTTGAGAGATAGGGAGGGTACTACTAATACCTTGGTATTACTAATACCCTTGGGGAGGGGATTCATAGTGAGGAGGTAGAGATGGTATTAGAAAAATAGTGAGGGAATTAGAAATTTTTTTATTATTTTTATTTTTTATATATTGGAAATTTTTTTTAAAATATAATTTTTAATTTTTTATATTTTTTTATTTGTTTTATTATTTTATATAAAAATAATTTAACAATTCCTCACTACTAATCCCCTCACTATCAATCCCCTCACTATCAATCCCCTCACTAACAATCCCCTCATTATTAATCCCCTCACTATCAATCCCCTCCATTCTATCTCTGAAAACAAACGACCCTCACTAACAATCCACTTACTATTAATCCCCTCACTATCAATCCCCTCCATTCCATCTCTGGAAACAAACGGGGCCTAACAGCTTATAGCTTAGAACTATGAACATAAGTTGATTTTTGACTTATAAATTAAGTTTCTCCTTTCCCATTCAAAGAATAAATTGATTTTTAACTTACAAAAAGTTATAAACTGTGTTATTAAACTAAATCAAACACATCAAAATAACTTAAATTAAATTAAAAGTTGAAATAAGCCCTACCAATAAGGCCATGGTATGATAATTACATTTATCAACTACATTAATTTTCCCATGTGGGAAGCCAGCCTAACATCGGTAAGTTTGGGTGTGTTATATAAGGACCATGGAGGATCTCCCTAGATGCCTAGGTGAGTTGTTTTTTTTTTTTTGGTGGATCCCATTTTATTTCCTCCTCACTGACCCAGGCGCGAGAAAAAAAAAAAAAAAAAACGTACATGAATTTTGTTATTTTATTTGTCATAATTGAATTAGTTGAATACGCCTTACATAATTTATATCTTATCGACAATAGAAATTTATATAATAAATTAAGTGTGATATATAAATTTGGCTATTATAACGTTACTTATCAGCCAAATCTTGCACTGGTTTCGCACCCAAGAAATTATTTTAATATGTTTTATGTGAGTTTGTTTTATATTGTTATTCTTTTAATTAACTAGTTGTACTTTTACATATTGATCTAGTTAGTTTATATTTAATTTTATATATTTACGTTCTCAATTAATTAAAAAATAGGGGTGGCATAGTTTGACAAAATTTTGATATTGCTCGTAATGTTTCTTTATTACAATAGTATAGATCAATAATAAAATCAGTAGGTTTAGGATTTGGATTCCCTGCTGTTCATAATCTAAACTAAGGACGCTGTTATGGTTTACAAGACTCATCACGGATTCCATTTCAATGATCTGAACAGTTCTTTTTTAAAATCATTCATATATATGTCATCTGAAAAAAAAAACAAAAAAAAAAAAAACAAAAAATGCTCAATCTAATAATTGTATTATATTCAATTTATCGCATTTATATAAAAAACATGAATAATAAATATTTTTTTAAAAATAAAATATATATTTTGTGACAAACGTAATAAATTGAATATATTACGATTATTATGAATAATATATACACGAAGGACTTTGCAAAATGAACTATTCGATTATCGAAATGAGACTTGTAATGAGTCTCACAAATCCTAACAACACCCTCCCCTCCATAAATTGCATCCCAAGTTTATAAATCCAAAAAATAGAATTAAAAAGGGAAATTACATGTCAGTATGCTTAAAAAATATCTACACAATAATGATGAATTTTACAAATTTTAAAGTACAAAGTGATAAACTTTTTCATTAATTAGTAATGAAATTTTGAAAGTTTTACTAATCTACCATTAACAAAATGAGTTAGGTTTCTCCCATATTGAAATTTTAAAATGAGAAAATTTGAGAGATTTACAGAGTCACGAGTGAATCATTCATTTTTTAGGAAATGTATAATATTCATAAAAAAATTTAAGTCAATCGGATAACTGTATAATCTTTTCATTTTATAGTATTTGTCTCTTAAAAATAGATGATTTATTTAAAAAATATATTTGTTGTCTATTTTTTTAATACAAACGCAATAAAATAAATAAAGTTATCATTATTGGATTGAAGTAATTTTTTTCATAGATATTATGTATTTAGAATCTTATAAAATAAATGATTTAAATTATCAAAATAAAGATTATAAAGAGCACTTTAAACCTTTTAAATTTTCTTATATTAAAATCTTAATAGCACAGGAACTCAAGCCTTAAAAAAAATAACCAAAATTAATCATTCATGACTAGAATTTATTCATGATCTGACCCAGGTGAGTAGACTTTTCCTATATCATTTATGACTAGAATTTATTTATTTTCTGACCCAGAGAAGGTGAGTAGACTTTTCCTAATATGATTATTCTGTTCTCTAGTACATGATGAAATAAGGCCAAACTACACAACTGCAAGTTCAAACGTGGAAGAAAAAAAAGGAAAATTCTACACGGCAGCCCTACGACAACAGGGTGAATTATGCAAATTTATTTTTACCTTATGCATACTTGTAAGACAAGTTAGGTAAATCCATAAAAATTTATATAATTTTGTGATAGAATTAAATAGGACATATATCATATGATGTGGTATTATATCATTGATGTCACCAACTAATATATTTTGTCATTTACCTCTAGTAAATACGTGACAATAATTGTACTTTAAAAATGAAGAAAAATGTTTGGGAGCCCTAATTCTGTGGCTCAAATGTGGCTCAAATGGCCAAAACGACGTCGTTTTGGCCATTTTGATGTTGTTTTGTACTCAAAACGACGTCGTTTTGGCCATTTGAGCCACAAAATTTGGGCCCTCTACCATTGCTCAAAAATGAAATTGACTTTCCTCATCAAGTACTTTTATCATGTGGAGGAAGATTTCTTCCAATTCACAATTTAGATTGGAAGGCTCTCTTTAGTCTGTAGAGGTCATTATAGATTTTATTTCAATGATTTGAATTGTCCATGTTATTAAACATTTCGTGTATTTTATTTATGAAAACGCCAAAAAAAAAAAATGAATCGATTCGATAACTGTAAATTTTTCAATTTGTCATTTGTCACAAAAAAATGTATGATTTATTTTTAAAAATATAATTATTGTCTATTTTTTTGTTGACAAATACAACAAATTAAATAAATTATAATTATCAGATCGACCTAATTATTTTTTAAGATAAAATACACAGTATTTGACCCAAAAACAAAAAAATTGATTCATTAAAATGAAACATGTGATGGATTTCACTAGCACAAACGGCACCCTCTAATTCAGATGGTAACCTCTTCCTTATTATTTGTTGATGATATCACATCAGCGCTTTATTTTACAGTGACATCAGAGGCTGTAATACTGTTGTGGCCATGTGTTATTGGTTCCTTGGGACATGCTCTGTTTGAGGACATTAACGATGATGTCATAGCTTTCGCATCCAAATCTACTACTACCGTAATTTTGGGCAAGCGGCCGCCTCAATTCTTGGTTCCTCGGGACATGATGTCATGGCTTTCGCATTTCCCAAGTTTGCCCAACCTCTCTCTCTCTCTCCTTTCCAACTCTCTTAAATACCCTCCAAAACCTCTCACTCCCCATCACCACCAGCAATACCAATTTGCAGCAACTGCAGAGTAGTACTAATAACTTGGGAGGATGGGTACTTCACAAGAAGAAGATCATATTTACCAACCGATCCCTCATGAAATCCCACCATCTTCAATAACACCTCAAGTATCATCAGCAAAACACAACACTACTAGTACTACTAATGGTGAATCCAGTGGAGAGCTTGAGAGTATATTAAGCGATACCAGCTTGCCATTTTCGAAACGAATGGGATCTGCAACGTGGATTGAATTGAAGCTCCTGGTCTACCTCGCTGCCCCCGCGGTTTTCGTTTACATGATCAATTACTGCATGTCTATGTCCACCCAAATCTTCGCCGGACACCTTGGTAATCTTGAGCTCGCAGCTGCCTCCCTTGGCAACAATGGTATCCAAATCTTCGCCTACGGTCTCATGGTATTTCCTACTCTTTTTTTTTTCATTCTTATTTTTATCTGGTGTCTTGTTTTTTATCAGAAAAAAAGAAGAAGTTATTAATGAAAATTCAATGTACAAATTAGTTAAACACCAATAAACAACCTAGGAACATAGACTCCTAACAAAAAAATCAGTCTCACAATATGTCTATCAGATTATGCAGCCCCACCTTTATGAGATATTTGTGTCTCATTTTGTATTTTATTCTTTGTATAATGCAAATAAATGATAAGACAATAATAAAAATTGAAAGTTCTAATTTTAAAATTTTAAAAAGGGCTCTAGCGATGTGGTAAGGAGTGGGGACCACATGTAATGTGATGTATGTGTCTATGTTTTTATTTTTATTTATTTATTTTTTCTCGAGGGCTCTAGCGATATGGTAAGGAGTGGGGACATTACAAATGGTAAGGAGTGGGGACCACATGTAATGTGATGTATGTGTTTATATTTTTATTTTTATTTATTTATTTTTTCTCTTGCCACATCAATAGAACTCTCTTTAAAAACTTTAAAATTAGAGATCGTTGATGTCTCTTAAAATATGGAGCCCACGTCATGTGAACCTCACCCTTATGAGGGACATTCGTGTCTGATTATTTGCTTGTTCATCTACACAGACCAAACGAATAATGGAATAAGGCATCTCAAAAGATGTGAGTCTCACATTATGTAAGTCTTTGTGTCTCATCTTATGTCTGGTGTTGTGTGTAAATAAACTTAATGATAAATAAAGGATAAATTCACAAGTATCAAAGTTAACTTTCCAATCTCAACTAAGTTGGTGTCGAAAAGCAAATTCAATCATGTGAAGGTTGTTGAGAAGTCAATAGACGAAAATAAAAATAAAATATAAAATCAAAAATTTAGGCCATCTATAGTTTGATTTTAAGAAATTTGTTTTAGAATTTTTTGTTTAAAAACAAAATATTAATTTCGTAAAAAAAATCAAAAACATTATCATTTTTATGTAGTTTTATCTTTTGAGAGGTAAGAAATAATTTCTAAAAATTGTAAAATACTTTTTCATATTTATTTTTATTAAATTAGTTTCAATTTTTTTTAAAAAAATATTATAATTTTTTTTTTAAAAAACAAAAAGAATATCAGACCAAATATGGTGTTAGTCTCTCTGTTTTAAGTAGGCACATTGATATTATTTATACGTCTCTCTGTTTTAAGTAGGTACATAAATATTATTTATACGTCTGTTTTAAGAATGTATATAGATAGAATTGTAGATTTATTTAATCAACTTCAATCCTATAAACTTTTGTAAAGGATTTTTTTTTTAAATTATTAACATATATATATATATATATATATGTATATACTAGAAAAACGGAGACACCTTATAATGTCAAATTCCACCTTATCAAAAAAGAAATTTCAAGAAATCTATCTATTTATGGTCCGGTTTGGCAAGTTGGATTTTAATTTTTTGTAGGTTACAATTCATAAAAAGATAAAAGAGGCTAAAATAGTTAATAAGACAAAATATCACATTAAATCATTTCACTTCTTCCGTCATAAATATTATATTCAACTACAAAAAATCTAACCATCTTTTCAAACACAAAAATTTTAACATACTAAGTCTTCGTTTGACATAAGCTAAACATGGCTTTTTGGGTAAAATAGTTACAAAATGACAAAATACGTTTTTTAACCTAATAGGACAAAATGTTACATTCAAACCATAATCATTTTATTTTTTCTCTCACAAAAGTAAAATAAGCCAAAAAGCCTATCTCAAACAATAGTTTTTAACCCCATAAAATAATTAAAAAGTCAAAAAATTAAAAAATTAACTCACATCTCAGACAAACTCTAAAATAACTAAAAATTAAAATAATCTAATAAAATAGCCAAATTTCCTGAACAAGCCTGTATTACATGTGTTTTTTACGGTTATTGTTTTCATCAACTAAACTATTCTTAGATTGAGTTTGGCTTTGTCAGTCGGCACCATGTGGGGTGGGCTGACATTAAATTGCGTTTCCCCAATATACTTTGAGCAATAATACTAGAATGACATCATTGACATGTTTTCTTACATAGCTTTACAAAGGTTTAATCAATTCTATCTCCTATATTTGCTAATACACTGTTGATATATAAAATAATAAAAAGTTGCAAGGGTTCCAACTTGATTTTATTTTTCAGTACACTATTGAATATTGATGTCATTCCTTCTATGATTTGGTGTATGCATCCATGGCTTGTATTGTATGGTTTTATCATTGTGTACTTATTTTGATGTGTATATAATGAATACTATTATTTGTTAGTCCCAAAATATTATATGACATTATTTAAGTAGTATTTAAATTAATTATATACTAAAAGAAAATTATGAATGAAATATAGATAATTAAAAAAAAAAAAAACTCATTAACTATTTATTACGTTTTTTCATTAATGGAGACTACTATAATGCTACATAGTATTTCGGTACCATATAATAATTTTTCTATACGTGGCCTCTCATCTGTGTTAGGAGTGGAAAAACAAATTAAAGAATAAGATGAAAGTGTGTGTAGGATAGAAAAGATTGCTGCTTTCTCTTGGTCTAAAATCATTAAAAGTCATTAGTGTTTGTTTGGAAAGTAATTTTATGGTTAAAATATAAGGTGAAAAAAGTTAAACTATTTGAGAATGACTTTTTATGAAAAAACGTATAAAAGTATAAAGGATATGAAGAAATCTTTAATTTATTGTATTACTTTATTAAATTTTTGATGACTTCTTGATTAAATTAGGCTATTATCAAACGACGCCTAACTAAGTGTGGAACACAGTGAGGCTCTAGTAGTCACACCAAGAGAAATATATTTTGTTTAAGAGGTTCGGATGACAGTGCTAAACATATGGGAAAGAAAAAAAATTTTAAACTTGCTATGAAATTTTGAAAAAAGTTAAAATTTTCTTCAGGCATGGTAAATTGGTTTCCAGTTTTTATGTTTCATCTTAATCAAATGCATACTAAAATATAAAATTTCCTTTCCCTTTTGCTTTCCACAATTTCTATCATATTTTTCATGCTAATCAAACTAAGCCTTACATTCTCTTCTATTATATAACAGCTAGGGATGGGAAGTGCAGTTGAAACATTGTGTGGACAAGCATATGGAGCCCAAAAATATGAAATGCTCGGTGTTTATCTCCAAAGATCAGCAATTCTTCTCACTATAACCGGTGTACTGCTTACCCTAATCTACATTTTCTGCGAGCCCATCCTCATCTTCCTCGGGCAATCAACCGCCATAGCATCAGCAGCAGCATTGTTCATATACGGTCTAATTCCCCAAATATTCGCATACGCATTAAACTTCCCTATCCAAAAATTTCTACAAGCACAGAGTATTGTGACACCAAGTGCATACATATCAGCTGCAACATTAGTATTACATATTATACTGAGTTGGCTTTTTGTGTACAAGATAGGGCTTGGGTTGTTGGGTGCATCGTTGGTGTTGAGCTTGTCTTGGTGGATCATTGTGGTGGCTCAGTTTGTTTATATATTGAAGAGTGAAAGGTGTAAGTACACATGGGATGGGTTCAGCATTCAGGCATTCTCTGGCTTGCCTGGGTTCTTTAAGTTATCGGCTGCTTCGGCTGTTATGCTCTGTTTGGAGACTTGGTATTTTCAGATTCTTGTTTTGCTCGCTGGCTTGCTGGAAAACCCTGAGTTGGCTCTGGATGCTCTCTCTATTTGGTAAGAACAGAATAAATAAATAAATCGAACATATAGAGATATCGGACAGTATTGGCCGATATATTAAAAGTCAAACTCATTGACTACAAACTAAAAAATAAATCAAATTCTGTGTTTGTGTTTGTGTTTTTTTTTTTTCAATGACTAGCATTTTACTTGCAATAGTGGGTCAATTAATAATATATATATTTGATTCATATGGACTAATTAATAGTTGTTGGGTGCCAATTGCAGTACAACAATTTCAGGATGGGTATTCATGATCTCAGTTGGGTTTAATGCAGCTGCAAGGTAAGCCCTTTTAATCATTTAAGAATGAATTTCTAAGATATAAATATATTAGTTGACAAAGATATGTATATGGTTGGTATACTAGCTCATCATGTACCAAACATTAGTTCCATTTGCATTTAGTCAAAGCTATTGCATTCCTATTGACATGGTTGCCAAATGATGTGGGACTTCATCACAGTTTAATCCATGTAATGTAGAAAGATGGAGCTTGTGAAGACTAATCAAAACACAATATCCACAAAAAAAAAAAGTTGTTCCAAATTTAAAAATCTAAGAACAAAATGAATTATGAGTGTGACTCTACAACAATAAGTTCAAATCTAAATTGTATATTTCAATTCTAGGTATATACTTTTAATATATATACATTTTGTTTTTTTATTCCTCTTGTCCCCCAACAGAATATATGCATAGTAAAGTATGATTAAAATCTGATTTTCCATTGTAATTTGATTCTTGAGAAAGTCAATAAACATTTTTTAACAGAAAATTAAATAATGGTTCTGCCAGCGTTAGCTGAGAATAAAAAGTAGTTGTAGCATATACAGGAATCTATTACGTTTGCAGTTTGTACTCGGGAATGAATTAATGAATGTAAGTAAGATAATATCTAAGAATGTAAAATATAGTAGTTTTCTAGACAGATCCAATGCATGATGATTATTTATTTAATAAGATTTTACTGATACATGTATAGAGTGAGAGCTATGTTGGGTACACAGAATTCGTTTAAAATACCCAAAAATATCATAATATTCAATGTATAGTCTAATTTTGTGAGTATATTTTTGATCAATTCTATGCAGTGTGAGAGTGAGCAATGAACTTGGAGCAGGGCATCCAAAGTCTGCTGCATATTCAGTAGTGGTTGTGACTTCAATTTCATTCATCATATCTGTGATAGCAGCAATAGTGCTGCTTGCATTGCGAAATATCATCAGCTATGCCTTCACAGATGGTGAAATAGTAGCCAATGCTGTTTCAGATCTCTGTCCTCTTCTAGCCCTCACCCTCATTCTCAATGGAATCCAACCTGTCTTGTCTGGTGAGCAACCATTCTTCCTTAATTAAAGACCTTGGATCTACTCATATTTGTTTAATTTAATTTGAAGTCTTTATTTATTATTATTCTTATTTTTTTTTAAAAGAACTAATTACTAATTAATGGCATATGTGAAACATGAAGGTGTGGCTGTGGGTTGTGGATGGCAAGCTTTTGTGGCATATGTGAATGTGGGATGTTATTATATTGTCGGAATACCTCTTGGTGCAGTGCTCGGTTTTTACTTCAATTTCGGTGCTAAGGTAATTTCATAAAATTACAAAACAATAATAACATGATTGTTTGGGCGGATTGGATAAGGAAAATTACAATACAATGAACTATCTGTTCTGACATAAGTAGTTCTTGGACTAATTGGCTAGAAATAATACATAGTTGACTATTAGTTTGATTTTACTTTTTTTAACCAAATGACGGACTAATAAATCCGTTAAATATAGAGTCCAATCTCATACCTCAATCTTAGGAAACAAACGCCCCCTAACATTGTGTTTGCATTTAAAAAATTTGATACATTGAAAGGGAGGAGGTAGAGGAAGTAGAAATTGTCCCCCCTCCGATTCCCTAGTTTGAATTCCAAATTTCTCAATCCTTGCTTAACAATTATATTTGATGTTTTGCTTTTGCTTTTGTTTTGTTTTGTTTTGGGATTAAAAAAAAAAAAAATGGATCCCAAACTTTTTAAAATAAAGTTCAATATTAGTTGGCATGAATATGCACATAATCCATTTTTTGACCATTTGCAAGCATTTTATACCCGTCTAAGTTAATAATAATGTATTTTGTGGTGCAGGGAATCTGGACGGGTATGTTAGGCGGCACACTTATGCAAACCATTATTTTAATATGGGTCACCTTCCGAACTGACTGGAACAAAGAGGCATGTATAATTAATTGAAGTCTCCACAAATTTTATTTTATTTTATTTTATTTATTACATTTTTTTTAAGGATAAATTACTAAGGCTATTGAAGCTAGTAAAATTATCGTTAAAAATAATTTTTTGTGATAATTTTTTTATATATGTTGCTATAAATTAAAAATTAGTGACTTTTTTGTGACGATTTTTTAAATTGTCGCTAAAAATTGACAGTTAGTGACGTTTTTAATATTGTTTGATCAAAAATGCTATTAATTATCATAGAATCTATTGGATAAGTCTACTTACTAAGACCTACACGTAAGAACCCTTTTTTTTTATTTTATTTTTTATCTTGATGCAGAAACATTCAGGATTTGATTATTTGTTGTTTTTTTAGTTTTTGGCTTATTTTCCTATTTGGTGATTTAAAAAAAAATGAAAAAAAAACTTTAGATTTTTAGATTAGACAAACCAGAAAATTAACAATAGAAATAAAAAATTTCAAAAGAAGTCAAGAAAAGACAAAAAAAAAAAAAGGCAAAAAATAGTAGAGTTTGTTTTGGCTTGTTTGGGGTTTTTCAATTTTTAAATTTTTTAAATTTTTTTAATTTTTTTTTTTGTTGGATTCGTCTACATAAGATGGACCAAAAAAATAAAAATAAAGGGAAAATTAGTTTGAAATTTCTTTGTAAAAATTAAAATTTCTCTGTCTTGGGATTGAAATTTCTTTGAGTCTGTCGAAATTTCTCTTAGTCGAATTTTTTATGTGAAAATGTTGGGGAACTTTAACTATTAAGAAAATATTATATTTCCTTTATCTTATAAAATTTTAAAATCAGGGGCCTTAAATAAAATTCCCCAACAATAAAATTTTTTGACATAATTTTAAAAAAAAATCACTAAAAAAAATCAAAAAAGGAGGTGACTTTTTTAGACAATAAACAAACTTCCCAACAGAGCTTCAATATTGCCAGTGTCACCTATGGTCGTCACTAAAAAGATATCATGCCTTTAAACTAGCCCATTTTAATTTGAAGTATAGCTAAACACTACTTTAAATCATAAAATTAGTCACTTTGAACCTTATCATCACTTTGTTTTCTAGGCTCAACAGAAAGGCCAATCATTGCCCATCATATTAGTTGTAATCTCCTCGTATTTGGGAGAGAGCAACAATGCTCAGAAAATAATTGTGATTGACAATTTAAATTGAAATGCAGGTGGGAGAAGCTCAGAAGAGGTTGGACAAGTGGGAAGAGAAGAAGGAACCACTTTTGAGTTAAAACTTTTCATGGATGGGACTAAATAATCGGCGGTTGACCCCTTAAGATCTTCTACTAGTGGACAACTTCATCAAAGCCACCAAGCAAAATTGCCTTGGTACACATTCAGGACGAAGAAAATTGTAGGAGCAAAAAGAAAAGAAAAAAAAAGCCCAATTTAGGGTTAGCTTTGTTATCTTATTATTGATTTATTGAAATTGAAAATTGCAATAAAAAAGTGGTTGTGTTCATGTGCTCTATTTGTTAAATGTTTCTACATCGACCTCTTACGATCAATCATGCATCCACAAATAAGAAGTAGCGTTTCATATGTACATTGTTTTCTGGGTATTTTTGAAGCAACCATGTGATTAAAACACAAAGTTAAAAAATTGAAACACACAAATCAAATCTAATTTTCTGTAGAAAAAAAAGGGAGCAAGAGCAGAAACCAGGTCAGCAACACTTCAGATCTCTCTTCATTCATTTGTCTATGTTTTGAGATTCTTTCACAAGTTTTGTATGTGGTATTACAGACACATCATTACAAACATTACCTGGACAACCTAATTGTACGAGTACGAAATAATCTTCTCGTATAATTCTATTGATCAAGTTTGCACTCCTCCAAATGTCGTCGCTTTATTTCCTGAAAACACAAACATGAGCTAGCCGACGGATGTGTGCTAGATACCTCTCCGATGCTTAAGTCAACAAATAGACAATAGACAAAAAGTTCTGTGTTTTTTTAGAGTAAAAGTTGTCATATCTGTACATAGGTCTGTCATGAGCTTTTATAGATTCCTCCTGACAGAATCCTAATAGGACTTCAACTCTCTTTAGTAGAGTCCTTCTAAGAATCACAAAGATAATGTTCATCTTTCTACACCCTCCCCACTGCTTAACCAAGTAAGATGGTTTTGTCACGGTCGGATAACAACACAATCGAGCTAACACTGGCCTTTCTAACACACTCATCTCGGTGCTTTCATGGGCAATGCCTAGGTCGGCCCTCCGTCCACCTATACCTCGGTTCAGAGTACTCAGACCGAGCTAATAGCAGCCATCTTTGACCGAGCTAACGGGGGCAAGGTCCAAGCTGCGTAGCCCATTCACCTCGGTCCATAGCTCGGTCCATTCCAATATCTGGACCTAGCTCGGCCCTAGTTCACATAAATCACCCTCTCAATTGCCCCTTAATTCCATCTGCAACACATGATTTGGGATTACTCGTTACCAACCGAGCTAAATGTCCAAGCCTCCAACCGAGCTCATTTGTTACCGGGCTACTAATTTGCTCGGTCCAGAAACGTCTTGTCAATTGCTCTGCACGTCGTTCCACCTCTCAAGCACGTTTGAATCGTTATCTATTCCCCTGGACACGTGGCTTGCTCCCACTGGTCAAGTACACCTGCCACAGCCGTCTTTGTACCACGAAAATTTGAACAGTCCCGCCCATTCTTGTGCTTATAAAAAAAACCAACTTTTGAATCAAACACTCCTACTGTTCATCTTCTCTCCCTCGCCTCCTGAGTCTCTATATTCATAACCATAGCACCTGCAAAGCTCGTGTTCTAGCTGGCATCCTGACTGTTTTGGTCTCCGTCCTTTCATTTTAAATCTGTAAGTGGCTCAACCCCTTTCTTTTTTGTTTATTCCGTGAGTATATATAGTATAGGAATATATATATATATACATATGTTTTTCAAAACATACTCCTATAGTTTCACATAAATGGGTAAGGACCACCAAATCCCCAAAAACCACATGCCTAGACCTCAAACATACTTTAGCTGGATTTTCAATCAATTTGGAATGCGATCCTTTGATTCAAAATAATACCACGACCGAGTTAGGAACCTGTTTGTGATAGGTGCGCACTCAACCAAACTAGAAAACCTCACCCAATAACCGAGCTAAAACCTTGAGCCCACCTTGTGTTACGACCGACCTAAGAACCTTCGTGCTCAATAACCGAGATAAAAACTTGTGTTACGACCGCACTAAGAACGGGTTGCAACCCATTTAGCCGAACTAGGATTGTATTTACTTTGCCTTCTTGCTTAGCACGGTCCAGTGATCTGGGCATAACACTTTTTATCTCTACTTTGCAGACTTGACTAGGTTGGCAAGGCACATCTTTCCACTTTGCCCCCCTCGACGCTATTGCTCAACCGAGCCATTCAACGTCATCTCGACATCGAGCTAGGCTACCATGCTAATTTGTACACAAAATTTAAGTTAAATGGGTAAATACCGGTTCCTGGTAAACTCACCTAGGGCCATTGCCGAATTTCGTAAGGACTACAATATTCCTGACGACGTCTATCTCTCTTTAGCCGAACTAGATACCACACCCCGGGGAAAACCAGGCTTCGTTCCTTTCACCGTAATATCAATTGTAGAGGCCGGTCTCCGATTCCCTGTACAACCACTCATATGTGAGTTCCTCGGGCAGACAAGATTATGCCCAACACAACTCAGCACTAATACTTATAGAATAATAAATGGCGTCGCTGAGCTAAACCGCCGGCTCGGCCTCAACCTCGGATTGGCCGAGCTTTTTCACCAATATTCGCTCAGCCAAAATGATGATGGTTAGGTGTACTATTTAAGGGTACGAAGAGGCCGAGAGAAAATCATAAAAAATACACTGGATAAATATTTAAACGACGATGATTTTTTCTGGGTTTCGGGCAGTTTTGAAGACTAGGAAGCCCAGATACCGGGCTATAATATAAATTGGAATAAGGGGACTGCTGGTAAGAATACCTTGGTTTAATTTTCTTTTTCCTTTTGCTATTCCAGGCAATAATTTCACACTGTGTTGACACAAGCATTATGTCTGTCTTTTTTTTGTGCAGACTTAAACCAACTTAAATCACAGTACCCATACGCCAACCAAGACGCCCTTCGTGCCGCGCTCCGATACCGTCATCATGGTTGGGCTGAGCTGCTTAACTTCGAACCGATCTACCGGTATAGAGGAAGGAGGAAGACCAGGGTGACTGATTTTCTCCTCGAACCATCACCGGAACCGGACCCAAACTTGCCCCAAATCAACCTTATTCCCCTCACTGAAGAACAAGAAATGGCCAAGCGCCGTGCTGTTCGTGCCCTGATCACCGAACAAACCACAACTTCTACTGTCGAGGTTCAAACCGAGGCACCTCAGGCCAGTCTACACGAGGCTGTGGTGGTGCTCCCTACAACCCGAGCTTCGTCGTCCCAGCCGAACAAGCGACCATATACACAACACCTGAGGGATGAGGATGAGCCACCTGAGACCAAGCTTCAGGAAGCAACATAATCGCAAGGTCACGACCGACCTAGCCCTTCAAATCATCCCACACTGCCGGTGTGGGCACCATTTGCCACATTCAGGGGTCGCGTCATTACAGCCTCCAACTCCATCAGCGTTGAGAAGGATCACCTATTGGCCTTCAACCTAGCGAAGAGTGTCTGCCTGCTCGCTGATATGGAACGGCATGAGGGTTTGACTGAGCTAAAGGCCATTCGCTCGAAATCTAAGTCAATGATACTGGTAAGCCCAAAAATTCCTATAACTTGAACAAATGACGTTTGTTATCCTCTAACTGCTCTGAATTATGCAAGCCCTGCAAAAGAGCCAAGTGGCTCATAAATGAGTGCTTGAGCTATGAAAGATGGTGCGGTCAGCCGTTGGCGAAGTAGAATCCCAGGCAACCGAGCTCAAAGAAGTTTAGGTCAAGCTGGCCGAACAGGTCAGTATGACAGAGGCTGACAAGAAGAAGGCTTTAGCCGAGAGAAAAGACGGCTATCTGTGAGAGCTGGCCAAGCTGGAGAAGAAGAAGAATGCCAAGCTGGAGGACCTAAAGAAAAAAATGTAGGACGCAGAGGACTGAGGCTTCAAGGAAGGGGAGGAGACTTATGTCTAGCAGTGCAAAGTCGCCAAAGATATATTCTTTAAGTGAGGTTGGAAGGGCGCTGCTGAAAAGTTCGGTTACGGATATGACTCCGAAGTCTTCCTGAATCCCCCTCCCCACTTCATACCGAAATTCATGGTGGACTACACTAACTCAGCCCAACAAAAATTCCTTCAGGAGGGGAAGGAGGATGAGGTCCCTGCTCCACAAAATGCTTCCAATACTCAGCTCGGCCGCCAGTTTGTCTCTCCGACTCCAGTGAACTCCAGCCCACCTTTGCGCGGGGCAATTAATGAGGCGCCTATGGCCGAGCCAAACCAGGGGATTGATACTATTGCCGAGCTACCCTTGGGCGAAGTCCGGGTCAACTTGGATGCCGACCTAGATGACTTGTTCGCTTGATTTCCCTTTTTCTCTTTAAGAAATTGTAACTGGGCTACATGCCGCTCTTGTACTTCATTTCAAATGAATGAAATGAATCAAACTTCTTATTTTTTTCGCTTCTTTGTTTGGTTTGTAGTGTACTTATTAATTCCACTAACTTTCTACAAAATTGGTCAGCCTAACTTAGCTCGGCATATCCTTATTCTGGCCACCATTGTTTGGCCGAGATAACTTATCTTGGTCAGACAATAAATTTAGGTTTAAGCCAGCCAACCTTCTTTAGCGTAGATCCTTATCTCGGATGAAGATCAAAAGTTTGTTCAAACCTTCCAAACTTCCTTCTGCCTAAATCCATATCTCGGCTGAAGAAAGAAAAAGTGTTGGTCAAACCTGCCAACCTTATTCAGCCTAGATCCTTATCTTGGCTGAAGAAAAAAAGATGTTTTGGTCAAACCTGCCAAACTTCCTTCAGCCTAGATCCTGATCTTGGCTGAAGAAAGAAAAAGTGTTGGTCAAACCTGCCAACCTTCTTCAGCCTAGATTCTTATCTCGGCTGAAGAAGAGAACTGAATGTTGGTTAATCTTGCCAACCTTCTTGATTGCCCCTAGCTGGCAATGACTAAGAATAACTTTTACTGTAGGAAGAATTATGTTGGAAAAACTACTTGCTTTATTTGAAAAAAAAAAGAAAAATTACAAGTATTTTAGGGAAAAACTAAAAATAAAATAGTTTGAGATTGGCAGTGTCCTATGGCCTGGGAATAGCTTTGCTGTCTCTATCTTCCAAGTGATATGCTCATTTTCTTGCTAAATCGACCACTTTGTATGGTCCTTCCCTGTTAGGTCCTAGCTTGCCATCTCTAGGTACCAAAGTGTTGCCCATTGCTTTGCACAGTACCCAATCTCCAATCTTAAATTACCTTGGATGCACTATTTTGTTATATTTTCTGGATAACTCTAGCTGGTATGAGGCAATGTGA